GATGCAAGAGAAGACTCCGCAGCTCAACTTTAACTCTGCATCTTTCATCTCAGCAGTTCAGGAGACTACAGATCCAAGAGAAGACTCCGTAGCTCAACTTTAACTCTGCATCATCTGACCCAAACTCATACTCCCTGCATCTTATTAGTAAGGGTGACCATCCATTGAGGTCTGAACAGGAATTGAACACTGGACACTTGGTTGGCCTGTTTGGAGACATTGTAGAACCTTCGGGAGATGGGACCTGGCTGGAGGAAGTAAGACACTCAGGGGTAGGCCTTGAGGGTTATATCCACTTCCTGCTCTTTCCCTGTTTCCTGACTGCTTTCTCGATGCAAGCAGCCATTGCATGATCTTGCCACCATGCCTTACTGGCCGTAATGGGCTTCACTCCCTCAAACCTGAACCAAAAACAAACCTTTCTTCCCGTAAACTGTCTGTTGTTGGGCATTTGGCCACGTCAATGAGAAAAGGAACTAACACGTCATCCATCTAGTTGCTTTGGTCATATCTATCCCATCCTGCCATTACCCATCTGGGTACCAATCCCTACTGACCTGTCATTTGCTTCCCTGCTCCATGACTCACTTCTGCCGTCGCAGTGGAAGACATTAAAGTGTCTATTCTCCCTGGTCGAGTTTGTTATCTGCTCTGCCCACCGAGCTGGCCTTCAGAATATCACACGTGAACAGAGGAATCACACTCATCTTTTAAGTGTTTTGAACTTAGACTTATGTCTAACATGGCACAAAGCTAAAAACAAGTCTGACCATGACATAAAACCTGGAAGGTCTTAAGAGCAGTTACTTGAAAAACTGTAAGGTAATGGATGTCATGATCAGCCACCACCTACTGTAAGGAGAGGCTTCTCTGATGAGGGATGAGGGACGTACTGATCCATGTGTACAGTAAGATGACATTAGGAGCCATTCTTTTTTTTTTTTTTTTTTTTGGTTTTTCAAGACAGGGTTTCTCTGTGGCTTTGGAGGCTGTCCTGGAACTCGCTTGGTAGTCCAGGCTGGCCTCGAACTCACAGAGATCCGCCTGCCTCTGCCTCCCGAGTGCTGGGATTAAAGGCGTGCGCCACCAACGCCCGGCATTAGGAGCCATTCTATTGCATTGTTCTTTTAGCATGACCTCCACTACGGTCTGTTACCTGTCTAACCACATGTTCTTGGCCTCATGAGCAGTGTCAGGTACGGATTAATCTTGTGGGGCGGGCCTTAAACCGAAATTTCTAAGAGCGGTTGGTTGCTCCCACAACATTTACACCACTGTTGCACTTGTGGGCATATTTTGGCAGGCAGGTTGTTATTGTAGCTTGCAGGTTCACAGCGAGGTGAGACAGATTCCTTTTACTCCAGTAACATGCTATATTAGTTACTTTGCTGTTGCTGTGATAAAACACTACAACCAAGGCGACTTATAGGAGAGTTTATTATGGCTCCAAAGGGTTAAGAGTCCATCATAGCAGGGATTGCGGCAGCAGGAGGGAGGCATGGCAGCAGGAACAGCTGAGAGCTCACATCTCAAACTACAAGCAGGGAGTTGAGAAAGCCAATTCAAAATCATGAAAGTCTTTAAGCTCTCAAAGCCTGCTCCCAGTGACATACTTCCTCCAAAAGGCCACACCCCTCCTAAGTCTCCCAAACAGCGCCATTAGCTGGGGACCAAGTCCTCAAATTCCTGAGTGTAGGGACACCAGACCTTGTTCAGAAACCCACCCCTCCATCAGCCTGGGAGCAGGCAGCTGCGAGATAATGTTTACTGAAAACATGTTTACTGAAAACAATTCAGTGCCATAAAGCTCTTGATAGGGCTCTGGGGCTCTGATAAGGGCTCGCTCACTGAAACACCATGACTTTGATCCCCCCCTATGGCTAGATGCTTCTTCCTGCTCCCTGCTGTTTCTCCCTGATTCTGGTGGATTAAACCACCAGCCAGGAGGGTGAGACGTGTGAGAGCTGTGAGAGGTGTGTGAGAGCTCGGTTGGAGAATTGTATGTGTATGGATGGCAGAAGTCTTTAAAAAGGGAAGCGTTTTTTTCTTGGGAGTTCTCCTAAGCCGACTTGGGGAGCATAAAGTTTTCTTAACGCAACCGACCGGTCCCTGTGTCACCAATCCTCGCCACATTCTCGGATACAGGCTGCTCAGCAGGTGCAACGCCTGAGAGTGGGGGACACCTCACCCAAGCCACCGTATATGCGTGGTACTCTCCAGCACTGGGAATGCTTGCAAGTACAGACCCTGGGGAATGTCTGCACTGTAACTGGGGGATGTGCTAATTTTCTCAGTATTCAAAAGGCCTCGGGGTTCACGAAGGAAAAAGTCCTACTAAATATGGAGTAGCATCCTGGGTCCATTCCTTAGCCACACCAGAAAGAGCAAAACATTCTCAACCCTGATAATACTGAAGGAAGAGGAGGTGTGCTGTAAATACTGCATGTTTAAGGAGCACCATTACCAAGTCTGTGTGAAATGCCTACACTCAATTACCTAACACAGCAACCTTGGAATACCTCTAAGCAGTTGGAAAAGGCCTAGGTTGTCTATTCTATGACTTTGAAGGCCAGCTAAAGCGTGTTTGTGCAGGACAAGTCATCCCCTATAAATTCAGAAGGGTCTCGATGCCCGATTGCTGATGTTTCAGTTTTGAACCAGAGGTGAACGTTCTTCAGAATGTGAGCTCACACCAGAATGTGAGCACCAGCCTTGGCTGGTGGAGCAAACAGATGCTCACTACGTAACATGAACTATGTGATGGACTTACACCCTGGCAGCACAGCCGGCATGTCTCCCTCTGTCAAGGCACACGGTCATCCAAAAGGAAGGTGTCAACACTGTCCATGCCAATAAGGGGCCCTGACTTCTGTCTTAGCTAGGGTTTCTATTGCTGAGATGAAACACCGTTACCAAAAGCAAGTTGGAGAGGAAAGGGCTTATCTGGGTTACACCCCCACTTTGTAGTCCACCACTGAAGGAAGTCAGGACAGGAACTTACATAGGGCAGGAAGCTGGAGGCAGAGCTGATGCAGAGACCAGAGAGAGGAGCTTCTTACTGGCTTGCTCCCTCTGGCTTGCTCAGCCTGCTTTCTCTTTCTTTCTTCTTTCTTTCTTTCTTTCTTTCTTTCTTTCTCTCTCTCTCTCTCTCTCTCTCTCTCTCTCTCTCTCTCTCTCTCTCTCTCTCTCTCTCTCTCTCTCTCTCTTTCCTTCCTTCCTTCCTTTTCTTTCTTTCTTTTTTTTTGGAGCCTGTCCTGGAACTCACTTTGTAGACCAGGCTGACCTCAAATTCACAGAGATCTGCCTTCCTCTGCCTCCCAGATGCTGGGATTAAAGATGTGCACCACCATGGCCCAGCCAGCCTGCTTTCTTATAGTACTCAGGACCTTGGCCCGGGGGTAGCACCACATACAATGAGCTAAGCCTTTCTGCGTCAATCACTGATTAAGAAAATGCCCTACAGGCTAGTCTATAGATCTCAGTTGAGGCTCCTGCCTCTCCAATGACGCTTGTGTCAAGTAGACATAAAACCAGTCAGCCCAACTTTGCTACGTAAGCTCAGATGAGGCAGCAAATGCACGTCATCAGGAAGAACAGACACATTCTTTTTGTAAAGCAAGAGTTAAAGGGTCAAAGAGTCGGTCTGAAGCACACAACAAAGCAACGTGAGGCAAAGGCCTGGCTAGCATGCGTGACCCTTGCCAAAGACGGGATTTAAACAAAGGTGGGGCTTGACACTGGACCCAATCACGAGTCACTTCCGGAGCTGGAAAGGAAATTAAGCCAAACTACCAAAATTTACAAAATTATTTCTGTCTTAAGAACTGAGGGCTTTGACAATCCCACATATCAGGGCACTATTATGAGAAGACAGATGGCTACTTCTTGAATATGCTAATTTTTGTTGTTTTGGATTGGCTTTAAGCTTCGGGCACTTACTCATGATGGTGGTAAGAATTATGACATATACCAGAAATCATTTTCTAAACATCCTTTCAAAATATGACAGCTGGGGGTTTTACACTTCCGGCTCATGCAACGAGTTTGCAAAAAATTCAACTCTTGGCTGATGGTTTTTTCCAAACCCATTTGATGCCATCATTTGCCTCTGGCAAAATTAATAAAAGTATGTTCCCAATAAATCTGGAGGCTTACAAAGATTGTGCCTACTTCTAAATGAAACAGAGTCAGAGGCTTCCAGGACACCAGGCATGGGTAAGCGTAGTGTGGTGATTTGCATGTAGCATGTGCGGGAAATCAGCAGCCTGGCTAGACCCCTGACCTGTGCAGAGCACCACCTGAGAGGTGACCCTGAGAGGGCCACCACCAAGTATCCTGTCCTTTCCTGGAGAAAAAGGTTATGACTTATTTGAAATAGTGAGTCCAGGAAGCACTGTGCTTCCTGGGAGTGTGTGTATGGCGTGTGTGTGTGTGTGTGTGTGTGTGTGTGTGTGTGTGTGTGTGTGTGTATGTATATGTGTGGACAAGCAGGAAGCTGGAGGCCAGCTCCAACAGATTAATAAACGCTTTGGGCACTTCCAGAGAGAAACAACTGAGGGAGGCAGCCCCCTGTGAATGTTTACTGGGGTGCCAAAATGAAAAGACAAAAAAGAAACCAGCTGAGTGCCAGAGTCCTCTTCTCTGCTTCCTGATCCACCCTATAATGAACATGCAGCCTTACACTCCCCCGCCATCCCTTCCCCACCATAGGGGGCTGTATTCTCAAACCATGAGCTCAAATGAACCTATCCTCCAATGCGATGCTTTCAGTCAAGTGCTTGTCACAGCCACAAGAAGACTAGCTAACACACAGACAGGCTCAGCACTACTGAGCTGAGGTCTGTCAGCCTTGGCTTTGGCTCTGACTGACTGAGGAGACTCTCATCTGAGGACTGTGGATCCACAGAAAGGACACAGCACAAAACCTAATAGAAGCTGGTAAGACCCTGGCCTCGGTCTCCTGTATACTGAAGATAAAATCTTCAGACGCACGGACTCACTCTGGGACATGTAATGACCCTCTGCAGCTTTGTCTTCATGGCCATCGTAGTCCCTGCTGGATAGCTGCCTGTTGGCTGTCTCCAGTCGATCTGCAAACAAAGGAGAAACGAGCCTGAGTCATCACACAACAGAGGAATACGGTCAGTGCTAAGAGCGGCATCTGGAGAGGGAGACCATCGGGCAGGGGCCCAGACTGAGCAGTTTGGGGGTATGCTCCAAGCTATCGTAAGAAAACCCTTGTGGGGCTGGGCATGGGCTCAGTCAGTGAAGTTCATTCCGCACAACATAATGACTTGAGTTTGATCCCAGCACCCTTGTAAAAGCTGCATCTGGTGGCATGCATCTGTCATCCAGCTCTGGGGAGTGGAGACAGGACGGTCCCTAGGGCTTGATGGTCAGCCGGCCTAGTTACATCAGCCAGCTCCCTGTTCAGGGAGACACACAGTCAAAAAAACAAAAACCAAACAAACAAAACAGGCAGGGTGAGGCTCAGCGGATACACAGGCTAACCACGGAGGCCAGGCTGCCCGAGCTCAATTCCCAGACCCACAAAAAAGCAGATGCGGTGGGGAACCCCAGTCCTCTTGTGGAGAGACAGGAGAGTCACCCCTAAGTTCATCAGCCAGCTACCCTGGAGGGTGAAGTAGACAAAAACAGTGAGAGAGACCATGCCTCAACAAGGTAGAGAAAAACAACTCTCAAAAGTAAACACGCAGCCGGGCGTTGGTGGCGCACGCCTTTAATCCCAGCACTCGGGAGGCAGAGGCAGGCGGATCTCTGTGAGTTCGAGACCAGCCTGGACTACCAAGCGAGTTCCAGGACAGCCTCCAAAGCCACAGAGAAACCCCGTCTCGAAAAACCAAAAAAAAAAAAAAAAAAAAGTAAACACGCACACAGACACAGACACAGACACACACACACACACACACACACACACACACACACGTGCACACGCCTGTAATGGAGAATGGCCATGGAAGACATCTGCCAGCACAGAGAGCAGGTCTCACCTCGGAGATCTCTGTTGAAGTCGTGAAGCCTCCGGATCTCACCCTCTAGCTTGTTTCTCATTGCTTTGTCCAGAGACTCACGCTTGGTGGTGGACTTCACCAGGCTCTCATAGGCTTCTGAAATCCTCTGCAACTCTTTTTCAAACTGTAAGAAAGACCTAGCATTAACGTGGCATTTGTGACAGGGCCTCTGTGACACTGGCTGTCCAGCGCCCTGAGTACGAGGCTGCATCTTCATGGACGCCTCTCTGGGCCTTGCTTTACGTCCACTCCATTTTGCTCCTCCTCCTGACCTGTAAGAGCTCAGTGATCCTGCAGAGACAGCCTCTCAACTCTGGTCACATGGTCTAACATCACCCAGTAAAGTCTCGGTACTGACAGGAGTCACGGGTGAATAACCGAAACATCCCCTTTAAAAGATTTAGTTTATTTGCTTATTATTATTATTGGTGTGTGTGTGTGTGTGTGTGTGTGTGTGTGTGTGTGTGTGTGTTCAAGGGGTCCAGAAGAGGGTGTTGGATCCTCTGGAGTTGAAGTCCCAGGCAGATGTGAACCACTCAATACGGATACTGGGAACTCAGGTCCTCTACAAGAGCAGTGAGCACTCTCAACCACTGAGCCATCTCTCCAGCCCCCAAATATCTTATTTTCGTATTATCATTTATAATGATTAATGAAGTTTCAGTTTCAAATAAGGAAGACATTAGCGTGGGGGAAACTCAAGCACTGTGACTAAACCTAGACTTGCAGACTCTCAGCACATTGTTCCTTTCAGAGGCCCCGCTCCTGTCTCTAGGCCAGGCTGCGCTTCAGACTGAGTGTTGTCTGTGAAACCGTGCACGGAGAATGATTGTACTTGAACCTAAGCGTAAACAGACGTGAGTGGAAACCTCTTCGTATGGAGGAAATGCGAGGGGTGGGGTTGAAACTGTAGGCACGAGTTTATTTGTTCATGTTTTACCAGCTCAAAGATGCTATCCACGGAGTCTTTACCCTACTGTGAAGACAGATCCAGCAAGTAACCGTCCCTGTCCCAATGGCAGCCTAGCATAGCAGTGCTTCCAAGTGGAAACCAACAACTTCTAGCACAGTGCTGAGTAGCATGAAGCAGAATAGTTGAGGTGACAGCCAAGACATGGGCCCAGCCTAGATGCCCGTCCAGCAGAGAAATGATAAAGCAAGTGTGATTCAATACACAGTACAGCTTTATTCGGCTATGAAGAAAAACGAAATTACGTCATTTGCAGGGAAATGGTATAAGTGAGGTAAGCCATACTCAGAACCACACATGTTTTTTCTCATAACCGACTCTAGCTTTGTTCTGCTTTTTAAATATATGTGTATAGAGAATGAAATGTGAAGGGGCTGTTTGGGGTAAGAAAGGGACTCACGGGAGGGAGACAGGGATGGGTAAAAGGACTAGTAAGCGCATCGTCGAGGCCTAGGGTGTAAAGATGGTAGGGCGGGACCCACGGCTTTGTAAGCTGACTGACAAGCCGTTTAGATGAATGGAATATCACCAGAAGGAAAGGACTGTAAGAGACCAGCGCACATGGATACTCAGGTGACCACTGGAGGCAGAGCCGTAGGCCGTGGGGTAGAAAAGTGCCAGCACCCTTGTCACCAGAAGGCCAGAGCCATGTTTCCAGTCCCTCCAGGGAACAGACATGTCATCTAAGGAGGGCAGAGCTAAGAGAGCAAGAGTCCTTTGATGCCACGAGATCCTCCCTGAGGCCTCCTTAAACAGGGAGTTGGCTGTTTGTTCCACTCTTCAACAACGACTTGCTGCTTCTTCCAGAGCTATCATGAGTGGCTGGTGTGTCCTGAATTGTGCTCACAGTATGGCTGCCAAGGATACTCCTTCCTTTGAATGGCATTCAGAACAGAAAGTACCAAGACGGGTCTTCAGACTCCTAAGACCTCAATGAACATCCTTGTGCTCAGAACCCAGGCATCCCATGGTGTCCTGCCAATGACAGCCTTTTTTTTTTTTTTTTTTTTGCCTCCTCCTTCCCATGGCCCAGCAAATTCCCTCAGCCCGCCACGTACCTTGTGAAGCTTGTCAGCGTTGTCATAGCAGCCCTGAAGCTCCTGGTGAAGCACGCGGTTCTCCTCCGTGAGGATCTCCACCATTTGCTGGGCTCGCTCCACGATCGCAAAGGCGTCTGGTCCGAGCTGCTGGCTCGGGGAGGCGGCCGGTGGAAGCTGCGGAGCCGCCAGGCTCATGGGAAGCGGAAGAGGCAGGGAGACGGAGTGCAGGGGCCCGCTGGCCGAGGAAGTCTGAGAGGACATGGGGCTATGCTGCTGCACCGTGGATGGAAAAGGAAGCTGGCACGGCCGGCTGCGGGGAAAGAGAGGGCCGGCCATCAGACTCCAGAGGAAGAGTGGGAGAGGAAGGGAGGCCTTGACGGTGGCGTCCTTGGGCAGGGGTCACCACACGCTTTCCCCACACCCAGCTAAGCAGTTAGGTTCAGGCTTGGAGGCGGCCATCAAAGTCGTCCCACTACCAGGAAGAGTGGGGACAAGCCAGCACAGGTCTCTGCTCTCTGGGAGAGACAGGCAGGCCATGCTGGGATTAGACAGAGCTGAGAGTGGAGTCTGAGCCTCCAAAGGATGGGATTCTGGAGAAGCGAGGCCAGGGAGAGTCTGACGGGCTGGCAGAAGTTTGGGCTGAAGCCTGGAAGGCAGCCAGGAGGGAGCAGCGGCCTGGGTGGGAGAGTGAACCCTCCACTACTCTCTCTGCCTGCCCGTTTCATGAGAATCTCCGTGCTCTCTCTCAAGCTAAGCCAACAAACAGTTCGTCACAGCAGCCTCTCAGGGACGCAACAAATGGCACGAAAGTCTTGTCTGGTTCTCCCATTCCTGCTGTTTCTCTCCTACAGAGACAGGAATTCAGCCTTCTTGCTGGTCTCTACTTCCAGGTCTCGGCACTGGAGGAGAGGTGACAGGACTCCACAGTGAGCCAGCTGTGTGGATGTAATCTCAGCACTTGGGAGGCAGAGGCAGGAAGATGACCGCAAGTACAAGGAGAGCCTGGGCTACATATGGTGAGTTACAGGATAGCCTGGGCTACAGAGTAAGACCCTACGTCACAAAACATAAATAAATAAATCTGAAACACCTAGCATTGCTGCCAAAGGGTGAGCCTCCAGAGAGTGTCACTCACAGGACTATTCCAATGTTACCCTAGGAGGTTACTCTCACTTACATATTTCCCCTTTAAGTATATTTTCTAGAGTATTTTAGACCCTGTCAACTGTCATGGCCCCATTCATAACTGTGTCTCACAGCTGTGATGCCTCTGAATGCCAGCTCCTTCAGCTACGTCAGACACGAGAAATTGAAGGATCACGACAGCTACGCAACCACCCTGACCATGGACGGATCTGGGCACATCACACCAGAGTGAATAACCATGGGTCTCGTGTACTAGCATCAGATCGGCCTCAGGAGATGATCCGAATCAAGTCTCCTTCCGTGTTAAGTTTAGGGCTTCCTTCTCCAGTCATGCTAATCTAGCTGGGTCCAACTTTGCTGGCAAAGGTCAAGAGTCACGGAGCACAACACAGCCGCTTACTCCATAGGTGAGACTCCCCTTCCTCCTGTCTCCCGCTCAGGAAAAAAGTGAAAAGTCGTGGGGGTTGTACAGCATCTTCTCATCCCTGCAAACACTGCAGGACCACACAGCCCTCTCTTTAGGCGGAGACGCTTGCTGGGCCTGCGCCCATTCCACACGCTGTCCTGCACAGAAGGTACAAACCCACCACAGGCTAGACAGACCCTGAGTCCTGTTCACACTGCCCAGTGTTTCTGCAGGTCACAGGAACTCCTGTTGGGAATGGACCCCACACTTCCCACAAGGCCGTGGAAGCTGCAGCGCATTCTACACAGGAGCAGGCTGGTTTAGGAAGAGCCCAAAACCACAGCTGCACCGCTGACTCCAAAAACCGATGTTCCTTCCCACCTCAGACGCAGCCCCTCACAAGGTAAGAGGTAATGAAACTGCTGTCCTTGGAGCAGGAGGGAGGTGGTCAGCTCTGCTCTCGGATGGACTGGAGATGGGGATGGGGAGTTCCCTCTGAGATTTACTTAAATTTGGGTTTGAATCCACTCAGTTAATGCACACCACCTCCTTGGTCCTCTCCTCAAGGGCAAAGACAGAATCTGATGACCATATCCTGATGCACACCGAATTCCTTCGAGAGGGTGTGAGGATTCAGGGGAAAAAATGCTTGCCAAACTTAAAACAAGAGGTGAGCTGAGTGTTAATGGTGCACGCCTTTAATCCCAGCACTTGGGAGGCAGAGGCAAGTGAATCTCTGTGAGTTCCAGGCCAGCCTGGTCTACAGAGGGAGTTCCAGGACAGCCTCCAAAACAATACAGAGAAACCTTGCCTCGAAAAAACAAACAAACAAAAAAAACAAGAGGTGAGAAGATTCCAGACTGGGGGTCTTCTACCAAGCAGCTAGCACTGTCCCTGCAGATCACCCAAGAGCACTCTCCAGAGAATAATGCCTGTACGAGGGTGGATGACGGCCAGGCAGGAGAGAAAACCTCTGCCTCTCAGGTCCACCACTCAGGCATCCAGGGCTGCAGACTTCTGGACCTGGAGCAGGTGGGTGTGGGATGAGTGTGAGGGGCACCATGGGGCACAGTAGGCACACGGGGAGAGACAGCGGGACGGGTGGGCCACCGCCACAATAAACACTTCCTAGCCATGGAGACCCGAGAGGGAAAGAGGGCATGGGAGACAACATTTATTGAGAAACGTAGTGAATGTATTTCTGTGCTGTAACTGACAACTCATGAGTCGCTTTCCCCTATTGGATCCTGGTAGAGCATCCAACCTGACACCCGGCTCTGGAGAGTGCCAGCTGTGTTCCATCCCTGTAGCCTCACGCAGAGCTCGGCAGGGAGCACTCAGGAGCAGCTTCCAAAGCTTTACTGTGGCTATACCTACTGAGCTCGTCCTGCGTCCAGCCACTGTGGCTAGCCTGCGCTACAGCCCCCATCTCATTCCGACTTTATAAAATAGGTTTCAGGCTGTGGGGGCGGCTCAGTGGGTACAGGTGCCTGCCACCACGGCTGACAACCCGAGTTGGCTCCCGGGTGTCACACAGCGGAAGGAGACAAGCAAGCCCCACAAGTTGTCTTCTGTCCCTCACACATATACACCATGACGTGTGTGCCCCTGCACACACATGTGAGCATGGCAGACACACACACACACACACACACACACACACACACACACACACACAGAGGACATCACTATTTGTCTATTTAGAATAAAAAACAGAGCATGGAAGGTACCCTGCAAAGTACAATCGATAAAAGAGAGGCAAGAGAGAGTCGAATGTGGATTTTGTTGCGTCTACAGAAAGCGCCCACGCCACATCCATGGAGGGGCCGCCCTGTCTGCCAGGTAGACACTTACTAAGCTCTCACAAGAATTAAAGAAGGCTCCCCTGGCCTGTTCCTATAAGACACAGGTTTTGTTTAGGAGGTCAACAGGTCAAATGACCAAAAGAGCCTTGAAACACCAAAGGTGCAAACTGTTTGGTTTTTCTTAACATAGTTGCATACGAATTAGAATTCAAAGCCCTCCCCTCCTGCAGGCCAAGGTCAGGTGAGACACAGGAGCAGCATGATCTGGAGAGACTCAGAGGTACGGGCCTGGCTGGTCTGTCAGAGGTGGCCTGGGCCATCCTTCTGGACGCTGGCCTCCAGGATGTGTACCTAATTCTCCCTCTGAGCCTCCATTGTCCCGTGCCCCCCACCACACACACACAACCGGCTACTGCCTGCCTGCCTTCTATTTCTACTCTCGAATTCATACTTCAACAGTACTTAGTATTCCACGCACACGCCTTTTCTTCTACCTAATTATTAGTGCACAACTTTTCCAAGGATAGAAGCTTATGACTCAGAGTGATTTGACAGGAAGTCACTTCTGCTAACTGGTTTAATCCCCAACTCTCAGACCAAGTTGGCTCCTATTTTGCATGACTGCTTTTGAACGAGGAAAGGAACCTTCAGCACTGTGGATGAAGGGGATAAGCCCCTGCCAGTCACAATTACTGAGACTGTGGAATCACGGAGATCCCCGCACGGTAACAGGGACTCTGCCGGTCTCTAACAGTGTTTGCTCCACCTGGAGAAACGGGCTGTAGTAACATGTTCCTCTCCACAGAGACCAGTCTTCATAAGCATATTAAACAAGTTTGTACATTCTACCGGCAAACGGTTGTCATGAATAGCACTGACTTAATCGCTCCTCACCAACCTGGGCATCCACCGTTCCCACACCAGGTGCAGCATCATTCTGTTCCGTAAGTATGCAAATAAGGGCTCCCAGGGTTGACAGAACCACAAGAGCTGACATTCTGTCCAAAGCTAAAAGCACTTCCCAAAGCACACACTCCCACCACACCAGGCCCCGCTGTCAGCACCACAGAGCCAAGGCAGAGAACCAGAGCAGCTTCAGGGCACTGTCACACACATCAGGACATGCCACCCAGCCTCAGAAACAGAGAAACGTGCTCTGGGTGATGGCCTCAGAATGTAAAGACTTGAAATTAGAAGGAAAACATCTCAGTGGTTTTTACACTAATTACTTCCTGAAAGACAATATTTTAGATACGAGGATTAACTGAGTGTGGGAACTCTGTTGACTTTGCTATAAATATATATTTGTTTGGGTGGATGTGTGCAGGAAGATTTGGGCACACACATATCTGTAGGCCAGAGGTCAATGTCCAGTGTCTCTCCTAAATCACTCTCTGCCTTCAGTTTTTGAGACAGGGTCTCTCGCTGAACCTGAAATCCATGAATTCAGCTGGGCAGGCTGGCGGCTTGAAGAGCCCTCCATGGCTGGGGTTACAGGCAGGCATCAGCATGCCAGCTTCTAGGGATCCAAACTCAACTTTTCAAGTTGTGCAGCAGGCATTTGACTGGGTCATTCCCTTAACACAAATATGTCTTTAAAATCTTTTAAGTGAATCAACAAATAGACTCTTGAGTAAATTTCATCTGTATCTTTTAATATTTTAAAAAGGGGCGGGAGAGGTGGTTCGTGGTTAAGAGCACTTCCTGTGCTTGCAGAGGCCCAGAGTTGGGCTCCTCCCACCCACACTGGGTGGCTCTCAACTGAGGTAGCTCCAGCTCCAGGGGATCCAGAGACATCTTCTAGTCTCTGTGAGCAACTACCACATCACACACACACACACACACACACACACACACACACACAAATTTAAAAACCAGAAAGGTGTTAAAATAATTGTCCAAAACAGAATTACGAGACTTCCAACTGAAGAGATGATCAATCTCCAAATTATA